CTTGAGTTCTATCTCAATGACAGTTGCAACAGGCAAAAAAGTGTCGCAAAGTTATTTTTTAATGGAAACAGAAAAACGAGAGTGTGGCAACAGTTTTGGAACAGCCAGGGGGGGGGGGGCAAAGGTCCTCTTTTTAAAACTTCTGCCAGCTGCTTGCACAATCCCTGTAGCAAATCAACCATCATATTATTAAAGACCGGGATGAATTTGGAGCATGATGAACGTCAGAGGGGCCGGAATATCAATCATTTGGGGGGGGGGGGCAGATATTCATATATTCGTGTTCTGCCCAATTAATTTCTTTTGAAATCGATTGTTTTTACAGTCTGTGAACACGAATATACAAATATCTGCCCCTGCAATTATTGATATTCCGGCGCCTCTGATGAACGTAAACACAAATACATGTCAGACTGGACTCGGTTGTGCTATTGGAAATGCAAGCTCACAAAAGCACTGTAGAAAGAGCAAGAGGAACAAATTGAAAGATTTTTGACCAGGTCTCATAATATTTAGTTGGTTTAGCAACTTTTTAATAGCAACGCCACATTTATATGCATTTAGCTGACTAAGTATGTAGGTATGTTCATAGTATGTAACACAAAATATCCTTTCATTATGGGCAGCTCGACCGCCTCAACGTTGTTTACGCCTGTAAACAACTAACAAGTTATTTGATATTTCTACCTGTGGGCTCATCACGACATTCTTCTCGTCTTGGCATGTACGCTTTTAGCCTTTTCTACGTTTTGATTCGCTGCTTGGCTCCCGAGTCATCTCTGAAGGTCGAACCATCGCTAATCTCAACAAATTTATCTTCTTAAATCATGCACTGGAATACAAATAGTTAAGAAACTATTATAAAATCTATATATTTCGACATTTTCAATTTTTTTGAAATTTTCGCCCTTTTCTGAGTTTTCTCTGCGCCTGTTTTGGTAACGGGTCCATGTCTCGCTGAAACCTATTATATCCTTTACTATCCCTAGCCTTGTAATCTTGTAATCCTTGTAATCTTGTCATTCTTCTAATCCTTCTAATCTTCTAATCCTTGTAATCTTCTAATCCTTGTAATCTTGTAATCCATGTAATCTTGTAATTGCTGTAATCTTGTAATTGCTGTAATCTTGTAATTGCTGTAATCTTGTAATTGCTGTAATCTTGTATTTGCTGTAATCTTGTATTTGCTGTAATCTTGTAATCCTTGTAATCTTGTAATTGCTGTAATCTTGTAATCCTTGTAATTGTTGTAATCTTGTAATTGTTGTAATCTTGTAATTGTTGTAATCTTGTAATTGCTGTAATCTTGTAATTGTTGTAATCTTGTAATTGTTGTAATCTTGTAATTGCTGTAATCTTGTAATTGCTGTAATCTTGTAATTGTTGTAATCTTGTAATTGCTGTAATCTTGTAATTGTTGTAATCTTGTAATTGATGTAATCTTGTAATTGCTGTAATCTTGTAATTGCTGTAATCTTGTAATTGCTGTAATCTTGTAATCTTTGTAATCTTGTAATTGCTGTAATCTTGTAATCCTTGTAATCTTGTAATCCTTGTAATCTTGTAATTGCTGTAATCTTGCAATTGCTGTAATCTTGCAATTATTGTAATCTTGTAATTGCTGTAATCTTGTAATTGCTGTAATCTTGTAATTGCTGTAATCTTGTAATTGCTGTAATCTTGTAATTGCTGTAATCTTGTAAATGCTGTAATCTTGTAATTCTTGTAATCTTGTAATTGCTGTAATCTTGTAAATGCTGTAATCTTGTAATTGTTGTAATCTTGTAATTGCTGTAATCTTGTAAATGCTGTAATCTTGTAATTGTTGTAATCTTGTAATTGCTGTAATCTTGTAATTGCTGTAATCTTGTAATTGTTGTAATCTTGTAATTGTTGTAATCTTGTAATTGCTGTAATCTTGTAATTGTTGTAATCTTGTAATTGTTGTAATCTTGTAATTGCTGTATTCTTGTAATTTTTGTAATCTTGTAATTGTTGTAATCTTGTAATTGCTGTAATCTTGTAATTGCTGTAATCTTGTAATTGCTGTAATCTTGTAATTGCTGTAATCTTGTAATTGCTGTAATCTTGTAATTGCTGTAATCTTGTAATTGCTGTAATTGATCTAATCTTGTAATTGCTGTAATATTGTAATTGCTGTAATCTTGTAATTGCTGTAATCCTTGTAAACTTGTATTTCTTCTAACTGTTGTATTCTTGTAACTGTTGTAGTCTTGTAATTTTGTAATTCTTGAAATTCTTGCCAGCTGCTTGTAATTCTTGTAATTTCTGTAATATTGTAAGCCTTATATTTGTGACGTTCTAATTATTGTAATCTTGTAATGGAAGAAAATTTTTATACTTTAACTTGCGAAATCCTTTTCATAGCA